TTCTCTATCTGTGCTCCCACCTTTGGTTGTGTGTTCTTTCAGGTGATTGCCAATAACGCCGCCGTGAGGGCTCTGTGCTGTAGCCATCCCTCCGGCACTGTCAGCCTCACCGGCCTTTGGAAACCCCAGACCCTGAGGCCCAGGTGGCAACAAATCTATTTTACTCCTCCCCTCTTAACGTCACGCGTCCTGCCTCTCTCCACGTCAGCGCCTCGTCGCTGTCACAAGCATGAGCGCCGTGGCCGGCATGCCAGCAGGACACGGAACCTCTGACCGCTGCGGGTGGGCCGAGCCCGGTCCCGTGCTGGCGTCCACCTCACCCCTGCCCGCCGGGGCTGGACCGCGTGGGTCTGCCTGCCTGGTCCCCACGGTCCACCCTGAGATCAGGGTCTTACCTGGGGTCCAGCCCGGTGTCCGGCGTGAGCGAGGCAGCCCCCGCCTGGCTCTGGTCCAGCTGGCCGGGGTCCCCTCACGCTGTTTTGTTTTCCCAGCTGCACAGCAGAAACTGAAGAGAAAGCAAAGTTTGTTTTCCCCATTCGGCTTTTTTTATAGCCTCTGGGTGGGGCCCCACCCCTAACCACCGGGCCCAATGAGGGTTAGTCCTGGGGGGGTGGGGGGGGTGCTGACCTACTCCAGGACCCCTTCTCTGTCTCCCTCTCTCTCTCTCTCTCTCTCTCTCTCTCTCTCTCAGGATCTAGGGTCAGAAAAAAGGGGGGGTGCAGCTATGTGTTTTTCCTAAAACAAAGCTTCTTTCAAAAGTGTTATTTTCTTGTGTTCTCTTTTCTTTTTTGGATTGTTCCTCTTTATTGTAATCCTAATTACTGATCATCATTCAAACCGGCTTAAGCAATTTCCTGCTGCCCTATTTTATGCTGCCGCGGCCGCAGCTGCTTGAAAGCCCCGGCCAAAGGGCGCTGGGACGGCTTCCTCCCAGGTCCCCGTGGAAAAGCCCCCTGTGCCCTCTGGGGGGCCGGGCGAGAACCCTGTGTCCGCAGGTCCACTAGCCGCCTGCCCAGGGCGTGTTGGGCCATATCCACCCCCAGCGTGGCACCCGCCAAATTGTCCCCAGCCTCCGGACTTCCCAGCTGCAATCTGTTTTTCCCTCTGCTCAGCGAGAGGCCTCTGGCCATTTCGCCCCCACGCTAGAGTTGTCCCCTCAGCCATCCTGCTGGTCGTCGCTCCCAGGGTCCAGCCCCACCCCAGCCTTCTGGGTGGCCCTGGCCTGTGAGGCCGGCTCCTGTGTCACACGGGGTCTCCCCCAGGTTATGTCCAGCTGGCATCTCAGAACAAGAATGTATTTGGAAAGAAGGCTCTTACTGGCATCGCCGGTTAATTTAAGAGGGGCCCCCCTGGAACACGGTGGCCCGTTCGCCCAGTGTCCGCGGTGCCCTCATTACCAGACGCGAACGCGGCTACCTGAAGACGGAGGGCTGCAGAGATGTGTCTGCAAGCCAGGGACGCCAAAGGTTGCGGCCACCCCCAGGAGCTGGACGGGGCAGGAGGGACCGTCCCCAGGAGCCTCTGGACGGAGCGCGGCCCTGGGTCACCTGGATGGCAGAGTCCTGGTCCCCAGAACAGAGGGAGGAAGCATTCTTATGGTCTTAAGCCCCCCCCCCAATTTCAGGGTCCAGGATACAACAGTACACCTGCCACGGATCATGTGTCTTTGTAGCTGACCAGCCCCGCGTGGAGACAAAAACCGCTGTCCCCCGAAAAAAAGGACCAGACCCGCTGTTCCTCATCCCAGCTCAGGGGTGAAGCTCGTCTTGTGAGAACTCGGGCAGTTCTGCCCCAGAACAGGAGGTACAGGGGCGCCATGTGGCGTAGCTATTCCTGTGTGTTGTTTTGCAACATCACTGTGATCGAAACAACAGTGTCATCCATTATATAGAATTGTCGCAGGTTACCTGCGCCCACGCGCGACTTTGTAACACACTATCGCGCTTGATGCAATAGTCCCGCTCATCTCATGCAGCTCACGCACTGCTTTGCTCCGGTGTAATAAGAGCGTCATTTACGATATACAGGCTGCAGGGCTGGGGACAGAGACCGGCCACGGAAGGCCAGGGAGGGGACGGGGACAAAGGGGAACTGGACCTGCAGTGGCAGGAACCGGGGTCCTCGGGCAGAGGTGGGGGGCCGTGCAGAGATAAGGAGGCAGCTCGAGGGGTTGCCCCCGATTACAACACATCCTCCCAGCGCCTCTCTGCTGCCAGGGACGCTGCGATAAGGGAGGTGTGGCCGCAACCAAAGGCTGAGTCACATGTCACTCAGGCCACACCTGGTCCCCGGTGACCGCAGCGGAGCTGGTCTCCTCCCTTCCTTCTCTCCCGTTCTCCCTTTTTCTTCCTTCTTCTTCTTTTTTTCTTTCTTTCTTTGTTCAATTTCTTTTCCTCATTCTCCCTTTTTCCTTCTGTCTTTGTTCCCTTTTTCTATCTTTTTTTTTT